TGGCTCCCTGCACGGTGCGGGGCTGGCGGAAGAGGCGCAGGGCCGCAGGAAAGGCGGCCGCGGGCAGGCGGGAGATAAAACCCCCGGGCGCTTTATCTCACATCCTCCCGTCCGCTGCTTTTCCTGCCGCGCTCCCCGCTCCGGCCCCAGCGCCCGTTGCTGTCGGCACCAAGGTGTGACCCGTCCTGAAGTCTCCGGGGACAGGTTCCCCACCTCGCTGGCAGAGGGGACGGGTGGTTCAGCTTCGTGTCAGCTGCTGGATTATCCTCCAGCACCCCGTCCATCCTTCGGGGTGCCCCCCACCTCACGGCTGCCCAGCATCCCCCCGCCTGGCGTGGAGCGAGATGCTGGGGAAGGGCAGCAGCCCGTCCTGCCGCCGCAGCCTTCCCTCTCCACGTGGCCTGGCGAGCTCCCGGCTGGAGACCAAGCCCTGCATCGATCCGCGCTGCATCTTAAATCCCGCAGCAGCTGAAGCAAGCGGTTTTCAGCGCCAGGGCGAGGGGGGGTTTCTCCGTGGGCGAGCCGGCTCTGGCACCGGAGTGAGACACCGGGGCTGCTTCCGCAGCCGGTACCACGGTACTTGGCACAAGGACCTTGCCCCCATCAGCGTTTTAACAAGCTCTGCCCGTGGGAAAGGGTCCTCCTGGGCTATTGTGGGGTTCCCGGGGTTGCACTGGAGAAGGGGATCCGAAGGGTGGTGGATGAGCAGGAGTGGGGTGTGGGGGAGCAGGGATGCCGCTCGCTCTGCTGCATCACCCCTACACAGGAGTGAGGGTCTCAGCAGAGCTTTCCACGTGTGGCCACATCCGTGTCTGGGCTCCGGAGAGGAGGGTGCTGGGAGAGCCAGGATGGAGGGATGGGGTGGGCGAGGGGCATCCTCCCAGCGGCACCCTCCCCCAGCTGCCGCCAGGGTGGGGACGTGGGTTCCTGCTCCACTAAGCCCTGCAGCTTTTCTCCTCTAAAGCCTGATTACTTGGCGGTGCCTGTGTGCGTGCGTGCTCGGGAGGGAGGAGGAGGAGGAATTTCACAACAACAAGTGTTTGCAGCCACACTGGGCCCAGCTGCCCTGGAGTCGCCCGAGGGACAGCAGCATAGCATCCGCTCCAGGAAGGCTCTCGCTGTCACTGCTGAGCCCGTGGCTCTGCTGGAGCAGCTGGGCATGTGTGCTGGGCATGCTGGGGCATGGCAGGAGGTCAGCACTGGGGCTTGGAGGTGGATGCTGTGGCTCCCTATGGGGTTGAAGGTGGGCACCGCAGCTCCTGATGAGGCTTGGAAGTGGACGCTGCAGCTCCCTGTTTGGTTTGGAGATGGACACTGCAGCCCTTGGTGGGGTTAGGAGGTGGATACCATGGCTGTCCAAGGGATTTGGAAGTGGATGTTGCAGCTCTTATGGGGATTTGGAGGTGAACACCATGGCTGCTCATGGGATTTGGAAGTGGATGCTGGAAGTGACTCAGAACTGGATGCTGCAGCTCCCTATGGGATTTGGGGTGAACACTGCAGCTGTCGGTGGGGTTTGGAGGAGGATGCTGTGGATCCCTGTGGCACTTGAAGGTGGACACTGCTGCTCTCTATGTGGCTTCCTTTCCCTGCTCAGTGCTGGCTCAGGGACAATGGTCCAGGAGGAGAAGGAGGAGGAGGAGGAGAAGGGGTGCAGCCTAGCCTGAGCTGGGTGAGCAGCATCCCTGGGATTGTGGGAGCTGGGGTGTTGCCTCCACAGCACTTGGCCTGGGGGACAAGAGGGGCTGCAGGGTGGGAGCCAGGCATGCCTTGCACGAGCTCCAGCTGCTGGCCCGGGAGCATCCCACTGGCGCCCGCGGTCCCATCCGGCGTGGGGCCGCACGCCGCTGGAGCGGAGCGGGAGATGAGCCCCGTGACTTCCCTGGGGCTGCTGTCCCTGGGGGAGGAGAGCCGGGCACAGAGAGTCTTTAAGCATCGGAGTGCCATTGCTACCAGGCCAGGACTTCCCCTGTGACCCCCCACTTCTGTCTGGATGGCGACCCTTTTAGAGAGCAGCGGAACGGATCTCCACCGAGGTCCGTTCCCTGGAGTTCCTTTGTTCGCGGCGCTGAGATTTTCATGGCAGGGGGAGGAAGAGCGGCTTTGAAAAGCCCGTTGGCTCTTGCCAGCGCTAACTCTCTTTTCTTTTCTCCTTGCAGAGCCGCGTGGTGTGTCCCAGAGCCGCAGAGTATGTCTGTGCACTGAGAGCACCCTGAGTCCTCCGCAGCCGGCGCGGGAGGAGACGCCCGGTTGATGCGCGGTCCCGTCTGAGCGTCTCCGGCGGCTGGCGGGCCTCTGCTACCAGAAGGGCTTTGGGGGTTTTCACCTTGGCATTGGGGAGGGTTTTTGGGGTTTTTTTGGTTTGGTTTTTTTTTATTTTTGTTTTTTTGGCTTTTTTTTTTTTTTTTTTTTTAAATTTTGGGGTTGGTTTGGTTGTTGTGCTCCGGGCACCATGTCAAATTCGGGCTCCCATCAAGACACTGGGAACAAGCCAGAGACAGAAAAAAATAACCAAGATGACTCTCAACCCCCTGTCAACTCCGAGAGGAGGAACAAAAGTGGAATAATAAGTGAACCTTTGAACAAAAGTCTTAAGAAGTCCCGTCCACTCTCCCACTATTCCACCTTTGGTAGCAGCAGCTCGGTAAGCGAACATTCAGAGAAAGGCAACCCCTTAGCTAATGGCAACGATGCGACTGTGGATAAAAGTCATTCTACCTCAAAGCACAAAAACATCTCTAGTATGCTGAGCAAATTAGACCGGATGTCGGAGCTCTCCTCAGAAGGACAGACCGCCCTCCAACAGTTTGCTCAGTCGACAGAAATGCTCAAAAGAGTGGTACAGGAGCATCTTCCTCTAACAAGCGAGCACGGGACTGGTATCTCTGACATGGAGGCAGTCTCAGCTGCAGAGACAATGAACGGCCCCTCTGATTTTCCTTACCTGGGGGCTTTTCCCATCAACCCAGGCCTTTTCATTATGACCCCTGCCGGCGTGTTTCTGGCAGAGAGCGCGCTCCATATGGCTGGCTTGGCAGAGTATCCCATGCAGAATGAGTTGGCATCTGCCATCAATTCGGGGAAAAAGAAACGGAAAAGATGCGGCATGTGCCCGCCCTGCCGAAGACGGATAAACTGCGAGCAGTGCAGCAGTTGTAGGAATCGCAAAACTGGCCACCAGATTTGCAAATTCCGAAAATGTGAAGAACTCAAAAAGAAGCCTTCTGCAGCACTGGAGGTAACCGGCCCCTCTCAGGCACCCTAACCCTTCCTCGGGCTGCGCTCCTGGGTTTGGATCTTGCCTTAGATAATAAAACACCTGGTACTTCTTACTTTTTTTTTATTTTTCCCTTTTCCATTAACAGCTCACACCCCGAGATGTGTGCTCTGCCCAGTGCCCCCAGTCTTCACCCCCTGCTATGTACTGGGCTTGGTTGATGTGGGGAGTGGGGCTGGGGTCTCTCCCTGGGGTCCCTGGGCACGCTGGACTTTGCTCTCCCCTTTGCAAGCACAGGCAGCAGCAGGGCTCTGCTGGGGTATGGGTGACAGCATCCCCTGTCCTCAGCTGGTGGCAGCTCCCTGAGCTGGGGAGCAACATCTAACCCCAGAAGAGGGGGATGACATTTTGGGGCAGACCTCGGGGTAATTGGTGATGATGAAACCCGTGGCCATGGTGCAGCCAAAGCCCAGCCCCTCAGCTCACTCTGCTCTGAGCAGGAGCACTATGATCCCTGGTTTTGGGAGCAAACTGCTGCAGTGTGCACTGGGCAGCATCCCCACTGGAGTGGCTGTGCCGGGTCTCCCTGGGCCAGCATCCCTTTGGGGTGGGCAGGATGGGTCCCTGAGGCAGCAGCCGGATTTCCCGTGCAGCAGCGCTCCAGTCCCCACTGGCAGTGCTCCTGTTTCAGCACCCAGCAGAGCCAGGAACGTCCCTGCTCCTGCTGGGGATGCCCTGCTGTGAGCCAGGTGCTCGGGCTGTCACTGCCCACCATGGCCTGCTTGTGGATGTCCTTGGCTTTGGGTTGGGCTGCCACCTTGCCAAATCCACTGGGGAGGGGCGACATTCATGTGAGGACTACAGGAAAAGTCTGGTGGCCTGGGTTGTGTGGGCCTGAAGCTCATTAGGGGCCGTGGGCAGCTGCTGGTGGTGTGATGTGGCCCATGGACCACATGTCCCATGGACACGCTGCTCTGGCAGAGCCTCCCTCTCCCTGCACACCCGGGTGTGAAGCCAGGTTTGATTTTCAGGGGTGAAACACACAGGTGTGAAGCCAGGTTTGATTTTCAGGGGTGAAACACACAGGTGTGAAGCCCCCTGTGCTGAAGGCAGGTTTGATTTTCCCATGTCAGCCATGCCGGTGTGCTTCCTCCTTCTGGTGAGCACATCCCCATGGAGAGATAGCAGAGGTTAAAAAGTCACCTGGGCATAGCTGGATTGTGCATCCTGGCACGAGAGTTTTGCCCATCCTCTGGTGGTCCCAATGCAACCAAAGCCTGCTGCTCCCATAGCCATGTTCTACGTTTTTCAATTAGCATCAGCTCTGAATGAATACTGAAGGGAAAAAAAAATCTATTTGGGCGGTGGGGATGAGGAGAGGGGGACTGTGTCTTTCAAAAACCGCTGTATTGCTAAATTATATTCTTGTTCTAATTTGCTGAGTCAGTGATCTGGAAAAAGGGAGAAAGGGAAGGAAAAAAAAGTTCATTTCTTCCAAAGAGTCCTAAAGCGGGTCAATAGACTCAGAGCTCGCAGCAGCTGGAGAAGTCTCTCCCTTCTCCCAGTGCTGGGTCTGGGGGTGATAAATAGCACCAGGAACCCATGGAACTGTCACCTCTCTGATGGGTTTCTCCATCTCATGACTGGCTGGGAAATTGAGGCCACTGAAATAGGCTTCTGCATCTGGTAGAGTTGGGCCCCACCAGAGCTGAAGCCCCATCCCTCCTGGGCATGACCAGGTGTGTTGAGGCTCAAGAGAGATGGGGTTGATGGTGGGATGGACACCTGGGCAGGACTGGGTCACTCCAGGGCATCACCATCCCCTTTTCATGACAGACCATCCCCTGTCTCAGAACATCCACTGGCACCATGTGTTGACCTTGGTAGGGCTGTACAGGATTGTGGCTGGGACAGGGACACCATGACCCTGGCTGACGTCCCAGGTCACCTGGGTCAAAGCTGGGTTGTTAAATCTAACCTGTCAACCAGCCTTGCTCATACCTTGGGCCAGCAGTAGGGCAACCACCAGCACCTGTGCTGGAGACCTGTCTGGAGAGGCCTGGATGCAGAGTTCCCTGGACTGCTGGTCCTGGTGGGGTGCCATCACACCTCTGCTCTTGATACTGGGGCTGAAGGGGCCATTCAGTGGCCCTTCATATGGGGCTTTGTGAAGCACTGTCCCTGTCTGTGGGGGGCAGTGCCATTGCCCAGGAGAGGGACAGTGACTCTGTCCTGCCACCTCGTGCATCCAGAGGAACATCCTCAGACAGCCCAGACAGGGGCCGCAGCTACAATTAAACGATCTAAAATCAAGCAGTAAAAAAAAATAGAATTAAACCTTTATGGCAGCGAAAAAAAAACCAGGCTAAATCCCTCAGCTGCCGTTAAGCTTTATCTGCACATCTACAGAGCCTGAAGAACCGGTCACTGCTGGTGTCCCGCTGTGCTGGGGCTGCCTGGGGCTCTGAGACCGGCGAGGTCGGGTGTTGGGAGCAGGCAGCAGCACGTCCCTGCACTCACCAGGCTCCTCTGGGCTCTGCCAGCCCCAGCAACCCCGGCTGATGCCCTGGCCAGCCCTGCACAGGTCACCCTAGGCTTGTCTGCAGAGCTGTAGGTCACATGAAGGCCATGAATAGTTGGAGTTTGACTCACCAGAGCTGTTCTCCATCCAGAGAAGCTGTGCTGAAGTGTTTTGGTGCCCCAGATAGAGTCACTGTCACTCTCATGTCAGCCTCACAGAGAGACTGACCACAGAGGACAAGGGGTGAGTGTTTTGAACTGAAGGATAGATTTAGGTTGGACATAAGGTAGAAATATTTCTGATTAGAATGTTGAGGCCCTGACACAGATTGCCCAGAGAAGCTGTGGCTGCTTCATTCCTGGGAGTGTTCAAGGCCAGGCTGGATGGGGCTTGGAGCAGGCTGGTCTGGTGGAAGGTGTCCCTGCCCATGGCAGGGATGGAATGAGATGATCTTTAAGGTCTCCTCTAAACCACTCTGTGAGTCTGTGATTGTGGGGGTGAGGGGATCTCTCCTGGGCATCCACGTTAGAGCTGATTGTCCATCTTCCTTTAATAATAAAGGAGCAGAGGTATTTATCAGGCTTCTCCCTCCAGACCCAAGAGGAGCCCCCTCTCCCCTCTTTCCTCTCCTCTGGGATGATGGATCTGGGTGGGTGGCCCTTGCTGGAGGGTCCACCCTGCTCTTCCCTGCCTGTTCTGCATTCAGTGCCTTGAGTGGGATCCAGTGTGGCCAGCGTGGAGCACACGTGCATGGCTGGGCACAGGCACTGTGCCTCCCCAGATGTTTGATGACGTGTCGTAGACACCTTGGGGAAGGGGCGATACCTGCATCTTGTGACCGCCCCAGCTCCTCCTCAGGGTGTGCTGGGGGCAGGAGCAGGTGGCATCTGTCAGCAGCCTGGTGGGCACCTCCAGCTCTCACCCATTCTGGCCCTTCACACCCCTGCCCTTGTCCATGGCCTGTGTTTGGGTTGTGCCTGTGGAAGGGGACACCCTGCAGGGATGGGGTGATGCTGCTCTGGCTTTAACTGAGGCTTGGTAGGTGTCTTGATCCAAGAGAAGGACCCAGTGAGATCTGGTGGACTCCTGCATAGAATTAGGGACCAAAATGTGTCTGGTTTGACTCTTAGGATGCTCCATGAGGTGTCCCAGCCCTGCACATGGGCTCAGTATTGTACCCCTTGTCAGTCTGCTGGCCCACACCTGCCACTGCACCTGAGGCCTGTTTCCCATTGGTGTTCCTTGCTTGTTTGGAGATGTGGGACCTGAAGGGTCCTGTCAGGTGATTGTGTGGTGATCCTGTGGTGACTGTGTGAGCACAGCTCAGCCTTGCTTGGGGGCTGTTGGCACTGAGAGACATCGTGGTCCTTGCATACTCCACACATGTTCTCATGAACATTGTGCAGGCTTTCCACCTCATCCAGGTGGGAAATGTCCCTGGGAAATGACCCTTCCAGAGGACCCCCGTGCTACTGGGGCATGGCCCCACACCATTCTTCCTGGAGGTGGCTTCTAAAAGATCCTGTCTGTTGTTGGGCCCTTTGTTGGCTGTGTGGTTGAGCCTGGTGGGACTCAGCCCTGTTCCCTGTGAGGTGCTGAGGTACCTGGTGGGACTCAGCCCTGTTCCCTGTGAGGTGCTGAGGTACCTGGTAGTGCCTGGGCTTGCTCTCTTGGGGTCAAGGTTGTTCCTTCAGGCCGACCATGTCCCATGTCCTGAGCAGCTCCTGCTCTGGTGTCCCCAGGCCCATCCAGCTCCTACTCCCTGCCCCAGTTTCCATCCAGATACGCTCCTAAAGCCACCTGGTGGCTGGGCTCCTGTCCTCTGGGTGTCTGTCTGTCCGTCCGTGGCAGGGACTGTGGGGGCTGGCAGTGAAGGGAGTGTGTTGGGGTGTGCCAGGCCATGCTGACCACTCACAGCCCGGCCACTGTGCTGACCACTGTGCCACTGTGCCAGCTGCAGCACGAGGACACGGGGACATGGGGACACAGGGACACTGGGACACGGGGGCACAGGGACATGGGGATGTGGGGACACAGGGACACAGGGACACTGGGACACGGGGACACAGGGACACGGGGACACTGGGACATGGGAACACAGGGACACAGGGACATGAGGACACAGGGACAGAGGGACACAGGACACAGGGATGTGGGGACACGGGGACACAGGGACATGGGGACACAGGGACATGGGGACATGGGGGCACAGGGACACAGGGACATGGGGACACGGGGACATGGGGACACAGGGGCACAGGACATGGGGACACAGGGACATAGGGACACAGGGACATAGGGACACAGGGACACGGGGACATGGGAATGGCCAATGGCCAATGGGAACAATGGCTGAGCTGGTGCCCGGCCAGGGAGGGGTCTGGCAGCAGGGGGACCCTGCTGTCCCTCCTGCTGTCACCGTGGGTTGGGAATCTCGGGATGCAGAGCTGCATCAAGGGGTGCTGAGCCTGGGCTGGATCCGTCCCAAGGCTGGGACCGCGGTGCTGGGTGGGGGTGAGGGGTGGGTGCCCAGCCCTGGTGCTGAACGCCTGTGCTGGACCCGACCTAACGCCTTGTCCCTTCTTCTTCTGTCCCCTCCCTTCTCTCTTCCTTTCCAGAAGGTGATGCTTCCTACAGGAGCCGCGTTCAGATGGTTCCAGTAGGAACGGGAATCCCAAAGCTCTGTCATCCAAGTGCAATGTCACTGCTTGCTTGTGTTGTCTCAGGCAAGGGATTTTTGGCTGAAATGAATGGATGCACCTGTGTCTCTTTAGAACCAAAAATATTTTCTCGCAAATCTCATTCCTGTTTTTATAATTTTTTTTTTCTTTTTTTCCTTTTTTTTTTTTTTTTGAGTTCGTTTTAACATCTTCGAGTCCTAGTCAGACATTTAACTGCTTTTCAAATAAAAAACAAAAAAATAATTAAAAGAAAAAAACAATGGATCTGTAAAGTACCAAGACTTAATAGACAGAGTATGGACAATCAGTTTCTTTCTGTGTTTTGGTGTTGATGTTGTTTATGTGTGAAAGATGCAGTACTTGTGTAGGGAATGTAAATTTACAGTAACCTTTTAAAATCTAGTTACTAATAAGCACTACTGTAATTTAGCACAGTTGTTTAATTGCACCCTCATTTATACTTTTTATTTGATTCTTTCCCATCATACAATAGAGTGGATAGTTTCTAGAATGCCTCAACTTCATGTTTATAAATGAGAATATGTTTAAAGCGATGTAGTATCCCTTCTCCTCGCCATTCACCTCTGGAAGTTTAACCCACAAGAGGGTCGGTATAAAAGGTGGAAGAAAACAATTGCTACACAACTGGCGGAATTGAAAAAAAAAGGAAAAAAAGAGTAAAAAAAAGGCAAAAAAAAAAAAAAGGTCGTTGTTAGTTTATTAATATAGAGCAAGAAACGCTGCGTACAGAAAATCCTCCTAATTGCAACCGTTTACTCCTAGAAGTAATTTTTGTAAACTTACAGAAGTTAAAATCAAAATAAAACAAATATTGCAGGACCTGTGCTGAAGCAGTTACGCAAAGTGATATTTCTCTTCTGTTCACCCCCCGTCTCTCCAGCTCTCTCTCCATCATTAAATTGAAATGCTGTTTGTAATGTTTTAGCGATCCAGGCTGTTTTTGTGAATAAAATGAATGCATGTTTTGTGTCATGATTTCCAGCTTGGTTATTTCTCTCCCAGCCCTCTGTCCAGCCCTCCAGGTCCCCCAGCAGTAGTGGTGGCCCATGTGCCGTGGTCCTGCTGGCTGTGGGGGGCTCGCCAGTGGTGATGCTGGAGCGTGGTGGGACGGTGTGATGAGCTGAGCTGGAGTCACCCCAGCTGCTAAATCCCCATGGTTAATCCTGGCAGTGGCTGGGCTAAGCCAGCCTCGGCTCCTCCCGGGGATATTTCCCAGCTTGACCTGCCTGGAGTTTCACCCAGCAGTGCCAACACCATTTGTTCTGGTGAAGCAATATTAACGTGCCATGGAGAACCACAGTGAGGCTCGTGTTGTGGGGACGAGTCTAAAATGAGCTCCTAAAGGTGAGTGGGTTCTGGGATGGCTTTCCAGCCTAGCCTCATGTGGCTCATGATCCTCATACTGGATCAGCAGGAGCTGTCTGGGATGGAGGGGATGTTGGATGGGTTCAGCCATGGACAAGCCATCGGGTTGCTGCCAGTGCTTGGGGTGCTGTGCTGGGAATCATGCCAGGCAGGTGGGCTGGGAGCCTCCTACCTGTGCCCTGGATGTTCTCCAGGGTCATCCCAGCCTGGCAGGAGGTGGATCCGGCTGGACCCGGCAGTGCTGGCTCTGTCTTGCTGGGAGGAGGTAGCGAGAGCCTTTGTCCCCAGCCAGTGTTTGGGCCAGCATCTGTTGGCCAGATGTGCACCCGGAGGAGGGGGGTGACGGCGGTGCGTGGGCTCTGTCCCTGCTGGGATGGAGCAGAAAGTCCTTGGGGAAAGCTGCCCCAAATGCCCTCTCCAGCAGCATTCCTCCAGCTGCAGCTCCAGGTGGTTTGGAGCCGGGCACCCCGGTCACTCCGGAGCCTGGAGTGCTCACACCCAGGGCTGTGTGTGGGAACGACTGCAGCACACGGTGACAGCGATGGAGCTGGGCCAGCGTGGTGAGTGACACAGCTCAAGGCATGCAGGGACAGACAGACAGACCCTGGTGGTGCCCCAGCAGGGCTCTGCTGCGTGGTTCTGCTCTGACCAGGGTGGCACTGGCGGGGGGCTGCTGGGAGCTGCTTCCCAATCCCTGTTGTTCACACAGCCGAAAGCACTTAGCAGGAATGTGGTGGGGTGTTATGGGAAAAAGGAGTCTGGCTGGTTTCTTCAGGACTGTGGCTAAGGGTTGGGGCTGTGTCAAGGCACAGTCCTGGCACCTGGAGGGAGCCAGCCCCTACCCCATGCCGGGACAGTGTCCTGGAGAGCAGCACACAGAGCTCCTCCCCAGCCCTGACCCCTGGGCAGCTGAAAGGGGGGTTCTGCTTCATCCCACCCACAGCTGGGGCTGGGGACTGCTGGGAGTGTCACCCTGCTGTGGTTGTGTCACCCACAGCAGGGCTGTGCTTGGGGCTGATGCTGGCTTGGGGAAATGCCATTATGGCACAGCAAACCTCGCTGTGCCACGCTGACAGGGAGCTGGCAGGAACCATGGGTGTTAGCAGGGGAGATGGAACTGGCAGGGGAGGAGGGTGATAGCAGGGATATGGAGCTGCCAGGGAGGACAGGGACAATAGCAGGGGACAAAGAGACCCATGAGCCTTGCCCATGCAGTTAAACAGGTCTGGGAGGAAAGAATCAGATGTGGGATTCAAACCCTGCCTGTGAGTGGGATGGGGTGGTGGGGAGGTGGGATATGGGGTGCTGGGTGCCCTCCACCCCACTTGCAGCTGACCCCCATGCTGGGCTGCATCCCAGCCTCCCAGGTGAGTGTGTAGGAGGATGGCCCTGTGCTGGCCCGGAGCCCTGCCTAACGAGCAGGACCTCAGGCATCCCCCGAGGGTGAACCCATCCTCTCCTCCACGCTCACCCTCCTCAGGCACAGTCCCTGTGCTGGGCCATCCCCACAGCTGCTGCTGGGGAGGTGGCACCCAGGGCCACTGTCCCCAGGGTGCCCGCTGGCAGCCAGGTGACACAGGGCACATGGGATGATGATAACGAGCTCGGCATGGCGCTCAGGGACAACCCTGGGCGCTACCACCAGGGCTGGCCTCGAGTCTCTCTTAATTAACATCCTCATTAAACAGAGTTAGCAGAAGGGCAACCAAACCTGCCTGTGGCCCTGGGGCATGCTGTCACAGAGGGCACAGCCATGTCCCCATCCCTGCTTGGCCTCGGTGGCGTGGGAAGGTGCAGCAAGTGATGCCAGGTGAGGCCAGAGCCCGGCATGGGGCTGGTCTGGCGGCAATGCCAGCGGTGTTTTGCACGTGGAAGATGGAAAGCCTTGTGGAAGCCTTGGAGAGGATGGATTCTGGGGTGAGCTGCAGCAGGAGGTGAAACCTCCACAGTGGTGCCAGAGACACGTCCTGTCCTGTCACGGGGGCACCGCAGCACTTTGTGGGTGCCGGGCTGGGCTGCAGGGTGTCACCATGCCGTGTCCCCCGTGCTGGCTCTCAGCCTGGCGTGGTGGGCTGGTGGCCGCCTCGTCCCGCCATCCCCTGGGCTGCAATTAGCAAGCTGACCCCAGGCTGACCTGCTCCCCCGGCGTGGGGATGGGGCAGGATGCAGGAAGCGCCGAACAAAATGTGCTTCAGCTGAGCCGGATGGCGGGTCTGCCGTGAGCGCCGCCAGCCAGGCGTGACCTCCTGGGGTCCAGGACACCGAGGGGATGGGGACACCGAGGGGATGGGGACACTGAGGGGACAGGGACACTGAGGGGATGGGGACACTGAGGGGACAGGGACACTGAGGGGATGGGGACACTGAGGGCTTGGCAGGGGAGGCTGCAGGGCCTTGGTGGTGGGGTGGGAACCTCCATGAGCACCGAATCCTGGTTGCTGGCAGGGGACGCAGTTCACAGCCACCACTCCAAGGGGAGGTTGGGATGGTGGGATCTGCAAAGGTTTCCTTGGTAGGGTGTCTTCCTGAGAATCAGGCCTTTCAATATTGTTTTTCACAAGTTCCAGCCACTTTCCCAGGAAAGTAACTATAAACATAGGTGTTTATACATTCCATGAAAGATTTGCCTTTTGATGGACATCTCTTACAGCCAGTGTGGTTGGGAAGGTGTTAACCTGACTATCCAATCCCTGGTTGTGGTCAGAAACCTATAAATACTGAAAAAACAAATAAACTTCCTTCTTCTTTCACCACACCTCGAGCTGAGTCTGTGTGAATCATTTCATGTCCAACAGTGACAGCAGGGACACATCACATCCCCAGGGGGCTGTGGGGACAAGCCAGCCCCGGTGCCAGCATCTCTGGCATGGCTGGGTGCTCCCCAGAGTGTCCTGGGCTGAGCTGACAGCAGTTTGGTTGGGGTTTTGGCAGCCCCACAGCAACCAGAAGGGACTGATGCAGGTGTCCTGGGGGTCCCCAGGCATGGGCAGCTGCAGGGGTTGCTCACTGTCACACACCTGGCTTGGCTCAGGCTGGAGCCTGGGGCTGCTGGGACAGCTCAGTTGGGACCATTAATCTAAATAAGCCTCCCAAGTTCTGCTCACTGCAGCTGGCCAGGTGACCTTCCCTGTGTCACACACATCATGGCAGCTTTCCAGGCCCATTTCCAGCCTGGGCTGAAGTTCTTCCAAAAGGTTGTGGAGTTTTTGAATTCAGGCTAAGGATGCCTCGTCTCTTTGCACATTCTCCACTGGGAGCGAGCTGTGAGAAGCTGTGTTGGCTCCTTCCCCACAAACATTGCATGCCGGGGTGTGGGACAGGGGAGGAGGGTCCCACAAGGTCTGTGGGATGTTGTGCTGTCTCTGCACCAGAGCAAGACTGAAAAGGGCTTTTCTCAGGGAAGAGGAGCCATGGGAGACCCTTTATCCATGATAAAGGTTTGACATCCACATCACTTCACCTCTGGGAATTCCAGAATTCATGAGAAACCAGCACACCCTGAGATCTCCCCATGCCTGAGCTGGGGCAGGAGGATGTTTGCCCAGCAGCATCCTTGGAAAGGACTCCGTAGGTGGAAGCTGACACCCATTCCTGCATCCTGCCAGCCCACCCTGGGATGAGCTGTGTCCCCAGCAAGGAGAAGCTGCAGCTCCAGCTGGCCAAGGGCCCTGGCTGGCCGCCCTGCTGCGGCTCTGCAGGAGGCTGGGGATGTTGCTGCAGCCATCACAGGGCTCTGTCACTGCAGCCATCACAGAAACTGCCTGAGGTCCTCCTGCCCCAGGGACCAGAGCACCACCAGGCCTGGCATCCTGCCTGCAGCTCCATGGGGAAACTGTCTTGGTTTGGGGTCTCAGGTGGACAGGTCACCTGTGTCAGGACACCCCACAGAGCTGGTGACTGCTTGGGGTGTGCTGGCTGTGCTGGCGTGAAGGAGGACACCTCTTCCATCAGCCTTCCTCCAGCCCCAGCAGAGAACCACAACACCCAGCACCCCAGGACCGTTCCACCTGGTTGAGCCATGGCATTCCTCTTTTTGATCACGATCAGTGCCCGATTATTCCTGATGAGCACTTGGGTGCTCCCCGATCCGTGCCGCTCTCCCAGCCTGCGTCCGCTCGCTGCAAAGCCCACGCCAAACCACGGCAACTCCCGCTTCATCAGGGACGGGCTGCTGTGCCAAGGCTGGTTTCAGCACTGCGTCAAGATGTTTTAAGGCCAGAGCAGTCAGGATTTGTGAGAAATAGGTCGGCCTGTGACAGCAGAAGGAGGCTACTCAGTGCAAGACTCGGAGTTATCGGGCAGGGGAGGCTGCGCGGCGCGAGCCTTCAGCCCTTGGGTGACGATGGGTGGACGACAGCGGCTGAGCAGGGGCTTAGCAGAGGTGACAGGTACCACCAGTCTGAGCTGGGGGTTTGCAGCCTGCAGCCTGCCTCGCTTTTGGCCAGCCATTGGTGCTGACAGCATCATGGCTGGTGAAGCATCTTTGCTCTGGGGAGCTGTGTCTCCCCCACCAAAACGCTGTGGGCGGGTGGATGGAGTGCTCGTGGAGGTGTCTGGATGGCACCACGGGGACACAGGGCCAGGCTGCCCTGCCCTTGTCCCCTCAGCCA